ATATATATATATATATATATATATATATATATATATATATAATTAAGGATAAGGCTACAGTTCATTCCGTTGAGATTTGTAACTGTTAGATGAACATGTTATTGATGTTACACTCATCTATATGTGCATCTAACAGTTAAAAATTCTAACAGAATGGTTCTGTAACGGGACTTTAGTTTTTTCCTATAATTTATTCATTTATCATGAAATTCTTTATCATTATGAAATGTACTCAAACCCCATGTCCATGCATTTATGCTATCTACCTAATAACAGAGGCATTTGAAATTTTTTGTGTGCATCATGTTTAAGTGGCTATAATGCCCATTTAAATGAGGGAAAATAATTCCAACAACCAAAAAAAGCCATTTTTAAATATAGAAGAAAAACTTCAATATAGAAGACAAGCCATTTAAACTCCTTAAATTATATAATTAGGCATTGTACAGTATGTTGATGATAACAAGGAGAGACTTCAACTAGCTCAAGTATACTATCTTTAATATCTATCATAATTAATTAAATAGTAAAATCATATCAAATGTTACAAATATAAATTCTTGTGGTATATACCCTTTATATATGATGTCAGTGTTGTACAAGTGTGACCCATAACTTTTTATCCTTTTTTTTTTTTATATTTGAGTAAAAAGTAGCTAGTAAATTAAGTACAAAATTACTGTAATTTAATTTCATATGGTTAAATATACGCAACCACAGTGAACTTTACCCGACCCGGCTTTTGCAAAACGAACCTACGAGCATCTCTAATGCATTCTTTTGAAAGAATACAAAGTTATCCACCTCATCTAGATTGAAAGTGTGTGAATAATTTATCCTCCAATGCATTAGATTATGGACTCTTTCATGCTTATGTGTAAAAAATTAATGTTAACATTGTCAAGCTCACTTTCTAATTTCCCACATTCTTTCTAACATGATGACTAAGCATTTGAGTAATTATTTGCACAAATTACGTAAATTTGGAGCTTTTTAATCCAATAAATATTTTGATAAATCTATATGTATACAATAGAATCATTTGATAATGAGTTGAAACTGAAATTAAAAAAAAAAAAAATTATCAATAATAATGTCATGAAAAATAAAATATTGTGTTCATTATATTTGTTTGTTGAGTTTTTTTTGTAATTTTTAAGTTTTGTGGTTTTCTTCTAAAAGGATTAAAAAAATATTAATAGTGTGGTTATACATATTGTAAATGAAAAATTATTAATAAATAATAATTGTATAAATTTGGTACTAATATAAATAAAAATAACTGAATTAACAAAAAAAAAAAAA